GAAGTTGTATGTGAGAGCTGATAAGTAAAGAAAGAAAAGAAAGAAAAGGGTCAAATAAACTTGAGCATATGACACCAATAGGAAGGTGATGATACTCGAGAGAAAAGTGAGAACAGAAAAAAGAAGTGTCAAAATGTAAAATGAGACAGAGAGAAAAGAGTGTGAAAGGGGAACAGATAGTTAATGTCTTTAGTTGTCAAGCTTTGCTATAATTTTAACTGCTCATCTGCACTAGTGGAAAATAAAATAATCCCAGAGTTAGTGAAAAACCAGTGAAAAGCTCTTTTCCAAAGCTTGCCTTCATCTCTCTCTGCACCCGACTGAGTCTCAGGATGTAAACAGCAACTGAAATTGTGTGATTATGATCCGTTGACTCTGCTCTGTTTCCATATGGAAAGATCCTGTGTGTGAGTATGTGTGTGTGCCAGCGACTTTGGGCACAAACAGTCATCTGTCAGTATTATAAAGTTTTATTCCACATTTATCCTGAAACTTTCCACCATACCATACATAGAACAAGAAGTTTAGTTTAAATATGAGTGACTTTTGCTTTTATTGTAGGCCCCAGCCTGAATACAAAATCTTTATTTCAAAGTAAATTTGTGGGCAGCTGGGGTATTGCAAGAAATATATTTTACTGAGGGATTGTCTGCAGCTGACAACAGCTGATGAATATATTTTATTTATTGGCGACCCCTTGGGGATTCATTCAAATTCTCCCACGGCCCATGACTGAGTTGCGACCCTAACTTTGAAAAACAATGATTTAAAATACTTTTCTCTTTGATGGTAAAGCATGCACATTCATTCTAATCTGTCAGGCTTAGCTAAGGAAACAAAAAACAGTTCTGTTACAGAGCACAGCCTCAAGACTGAACTTAATCAGCAATTATGAATGAAATTATGAAATTAATTTCACTCAGGAATTTGCTTATGAGGTTTGTTTTTAATTGAATCCGGACTTCTCTGGTGCTGACTTTGTTTTACTCTTTTGAATTTGGTCCCAAAGCGAAACCACAAATGCTTTTGTGTGAAGAATAAACAGAATAAATAGTTATTAGTTTAGAAGCTATTGTTCCGTCAGGTTTGACTTGCAAGCTGCTTTACTTATCTAGAAATGTGCTGCTGTAAGATACAATCAGTGACTGTAGTGAGTAGAAGGAGAGTAAATACATATCAAATAAAAAAGAAAGGCCATGATGAAACTGTTTCACGGTGTTGCCATTGCCTTCATATTCCCTGTTGTTGAAATTCTCAGTATAAAAGCAATGTTTTTAAGTTCATTCCTGACTTTGGAAACAAAACAACAAGACAATCCAAACTCAAGGTCAGCTTGCATCAAGATGTGTTTATCTGGTGACATGTCAAGTGCAGTAGTTGATATGATTTTATCCACAGCACGTTTAGGGCTGGACAACTGAGGGATTAGGGATAATCCAATGATTTAGTATTGCACTTCCAAAATCATTCATTGGACACCAACCCTCCTACATGCCCACCTCTAACCTTGCACCTCCAATTTGTAATGCAGATTTCTGTTATGCTTTCTTTAGAGCTATATATAAGGAATTATACAGTTGCTTTCTCCTTGGAGAACAACCTTATGTGTAAAATTGGTGGAGTGACCCTTAAAAAGAAGTACTTCTAATACAAAGTTCCTCTTTTACAGTTTTAGTGAGAAGTGGAGCCCAGTGAGTCAAAGTGTTTCCACACCCAGAGCTGTCCGGTCGATGTGACCTCACACACATCTTGTGATCTAACATAAACATTACAGTGTAACATTGATCCTGAGACGTGATCTTCTGACTGAGTGACAAAGACACACACCAAAACACACGAGGACAGATGTAATAACGGATCTTTATGTCGTTTGTGACTATGTAGCTCTTGAAGCTTAATCATAAACAAAAGCTTGAACATAAGGACTCTCTGACTCAAACACAACATGGACAGGTGTTTTTAAAGTTTAGGTCAGGACACAAACTTTGTAGGAGGAAGTGGGGAGAAAGCCTTCAGCTAGGTCATGTTTCTCAAAAATAAATCTGCTCAACATGTGTTGCACTTCTGTGGTGCTGCAGCTTAGTTGGCTGCTGAATGGATACATTTAAATGAGCACACTGACCAGCCATGTTGTGTACATGCATACATACTGCCCTGTCTCAGTATTAGAAAGACGGTTAGAGAAGCTTCTCAATTCAGCTATTTTAACCAAGGGAATCAGTCAAGTATGTCACACACACACAGTTGCAGTACAAAGCAAACTGAGGCCTAACCACATGTTTAGTTGTCTACTGATCATTGCTACTTGTTAGTCTAAATAACATTCCCCTCTGACAGATTACATTTTTCCCATACAGTTTCTCCTTTTGGATGACTGATGGTCAGTTCTCTGGCTGCCAACATGAGCGCATACACATACCCACACACACACTGACTGGGTCTTTCCATATGGAAACACTAAAATGAATAATCATACAGATGAAGCTGCAGTTGCTTTTCACTGCCCCCCACCCGCTGAGACACAGACATAAACAAACAAGGACAGATCGATATATACACCCATCCTACGTACATACGTGCACACAAACAGCACATGCACACACACTCATGCTCTGTTAGCAAAATGTGTCTGCTTTTATTTAGTCCTTTGTTCACTAGAGATGCTGAGGGGACATGAACTTGAATTCTCTCATCCTCTTTCTGCCTACATGTGTGGAAAGTTTGTCTGTCTCCATGTGTCTGCTCATTTGTCTCCCTGTGTCTGGTCCTATTTGCGCAAATATGATGAATAAACGATGTCAGAAAGTCAAGATGATGCTTAAGAAAACCAAGATAGAGAGATGCATAAATGACAGACTGAAGGAAGCAAAAGAGGTCATATCAGCTTTCTCACACTGTGAACAAGCTGAGAATATATGGTTAGCTTGTTAAGGAAACTGCTAACACAAAGCTAGAGCGTTTCTTGCAACGATTGTGTGTTTTCCTTGACACAGTAGTATTGGTTGACCAGTTGCTTCCTATCCACCAACCCCACTTGCAACACTTACAGACCACTTCTAATTATCACTATATCATCAGTGACGTTTGACATATCAGTATGCAGCAGAAGTTGTTTTTGTTGGTTTTGCTGTGTGGTAACTATGATAGGATCATAGATCAAAGTATAAATCTAAATCTACACTTGTTGTTGTTATGTATACTTGTTATGTTCTCACTCCACTCAGTTACCTATTATGTTCAAATTTCATATTTATTTTTGTGCCTTCTTGCATCAGAATTAGAGCAAAATTCCTCTGAGTGCTTGCTAAACCCCTCTGCCAAACAGCAAGAGGGGTTCAATCATAGCTTAGCAACTGTAACTATGAATGGCATAGAAAACAACTGACGTAAATAGATGTGAAGCATAGAAATACACTTTGGCACGCATTTACCTGCATATAGAGTGCGGAAAATGCTAGCTGTTACGCTGCCTTTGAAGACAGCTGGATTGATTAAGGTAGGAGCGTTGAGAAGGACCACTGAAAAATGGGGCTTAACATGCTGTTGTATAAGCGTTATCTTAAAAGCTTTAATATGCAATGTGAAACTTAAAAACATACAATTTGAATATAAGTGCAGTAAGCTAAGCAGCCAAAGAGTGATTAAATAATGAATTAATTTCAGAACTAGGGGGGTTTACTGGACAAAACATGATGAGATGCCAACATCAGCAGAGTGACATTGTGAGAAAGTATTAGCATGATGACCAAGTTAAGGCTCTGTTCCATTTAGTGTAGCAGAGACAGAGAAAAAGCAGCACCCTGACTCTGTTTGGCCTAAATGGAACGGCACTTTCATTAGTATCACTGAGTTTACCCTACTGTCTCATGTCAAAATGTTTGCTGTGAAAAAGGTCTATTGAGTTGGTTTTCATTTCCACGTTAAGACTCACAGTGCACTCACAAAACCAAAGTAACTGAACACTCTAACCAAAGTCCCTTCACATATTTTCGAGCATTATTAATCTTCCTTTAGTGGTTACTACTAGTTGAGTCATCAAGAAACCTCTTTTTGAAGTAGGGATTAAATATATTTGAATGTGTGTGGATTGTTGTAGGTTTTTGTCCGTAGATGATAGAGTTAATGGTATCATGTTTCCACCCTGTTTTGTCTTAACCACATCATTATGGTGTTGTAGAGGATTCCACCTAAATAGAGATAATCCTGCATCTGCCTCCAGACTGTTGCAACTGTCCAGGGGGTTGTTAAAACGCTGGTTTGTCACTGAATTTGGGTGAAGGGCTGAACACTTGGAGGAAGAGAGGGAAAAGTAGGAGGAGATGGAGAGTAAGAGTTGGGGAGAATGAGAACGGACATCAGATTACTTACTGGCAAAACTCAAGTACAGCAGCAGCTGTTTAGACTGAGTGTTAGTCATCACCCTCTCGTTGGTCCCCCCCCTTTTTCTGTCTCTCATGAGAGTGTTGTGAATAGCTCCTGAAATAGAGC